AGATATCTGGAGAAGCAGATTTAGAGTTGAGAGTCTGGAATGGCATATGACAATAAGGGAACTTTGATAGCTCTGTGTAATAGCCTTCTGTCTGAAGGCTGTTCATTATATGAAGAAATAGTAATCTGATGTCAGTATGATGGCTGCACAAGTCTTCCAGCATGAATAGACTAAGTGCACCTTCTCAAGTAAAAGGTTTTGAAGCAACAAGCTTTGAAAAGTTCAGAGGGAGAAGGAGAAGGCTTGCTAGGTGTTTCACTAGATGAGGGTTCAAGACAAAATAGATTCAAGCTAGGGAAACTATAATGAGTACAGAGATGTATATTTATATGTCAGAAAGGTTTAGGGCTGGTGAAGCCATATTAGTATGTGGACAGAGAGGAAACAAGTCATAGTCTAAATATAGTACAGGATGAGTCAGAATAAGTCATGAGCCAGTCATGAGCCAGTTAAACAGTAAGGATAAAGGAAATCACTATGAGGGACAATAAGATTAGTACCAATACCCTGGTAGAGGTGAAGAAAGGAATTGTCATATCCCATATTCTGGACCTAGATCCCACAATATTCCCACACTATCTTACTAGGATGTGAAAGGCAGAAAAGTCACCAAATTCACTATCCTTCTATAGTCAATGGTTCAGACAAATATCAACAGTTGATAATGTAGTCATTCATGGGGGACAAGGTTTTGTTGAACTTTTCAAGTGAATGCTAGTGATGTAAAATGGGCAAAGAAGTGTGGAAATCAATAACTAGCTTGATGCAGTGCTATGACCTTCAGAGTAATATGTTGCAGCTGTATGCAATGACTAGAGCTATAATATATCCCTTTGAATATTTCTTACTTATCTTCAGCAATGGAGATCAAATTCACTAGTGGAATTGTCCCAATATGTGGCCTTGAAACCAACTTTCTGCTGCTCAGGCACTCACTATGAGTATGACACAGACCAGAACAGAGTACACCCTTTGATGTAGTCTTAAGTGGCCAGGCTCTTAATATTTGTTGACAGATTGTAAGTCTTATTTGTCTTCCCTAATTGATGAATAATATGTGTGATTCTCCCCACAGAACTTTCCTATGTCTAAAAGAGAACTAGAATGAATACTACTTATGTAATCAAGTAAAGAAGTATTTGGGGCCATGAAGCAATCAATTTCATTACCAAGTATCAATCATCCAATCAGAGTGAGACAAAGTTTAGGAGGATCAAAGGGGGATTAGTGCATACACCCCTGAGTTTCTTTACCCCTATTATCTAAGTAAACAAATAAGTGACAACTAGGAGAAATATTAGCTTATTTACTCCATTCTTTTATAGCATTCTTCACATATTATTCAGAAGTATTTAAGGCCACACACTTGAGTCACACTTTAACCATACTTGATTACATAATCAGTATTCATTCTAGTTCTCTTTTGGACATGGGAAGGAGTTAGATATAAGAAAATTGTAAAGATGTGTTAGTGCACCAGATGCTGGGTTAGCTCTGATGATTTCAGGCAACACCTCTATAAGCTCAGCTATAGTATGAGCTGACAGAGATGTCCATATATCAGCCATAGTAGGAGACATTTGTATGTTTGAGAAAGCAAAGTGGAGAGCAAAGAGCTGTAGAGCATACCCCTGACTCAACAGAGTTAGTGCTTAGCCATGTTTGTCTATTTGGTTTTGTTGAAGATTTGTACTGTTATGACATTTTGATCAGTTTATCAAAAACGATCAAAAGCTATTAGGACCAAGCTGAAGATAACATTGAACAAGCTAAAGACCAACCTATTAAATTGTTTCAGAAAACTCCTTATCATGGTAAAAATGAAAAAAATAATTAGCATATATGGCCCAACCCCTTACCCAAGAACTTTCCTGTGTCTAAAAGAGAACTAGAATGAATACTGATTATGTAATCAAGTATGGTTAAAGTGTGACTCAAGTGTGTGGCCTTAAATACTTCTGAATAATATGTGAAGAATGCTATAAAAGAATGGAGTAAATAAGCTAATATTTCTCCTAGTTGTCACTTATTTGTTTACTTAGATAATAGGGGTAAAGAAACTCAGGGGTGTATGCACTAATCCCCCTTTGATCCTCCTAAACTTTGTCTCACTCTGATTGGATGATTGATACTTGGTAATGAAATTGATTGCTTCACAAGAGGGGAAAATGAGCCCTTTATATACTACTAGACTAGTGGCTATGCTACTGATTACTAATGCACTTTAAATTATATTGGAGTCTGTCATATCCCACAATCCAGACCCACGTTCCATCATATTCCCACGCCTTCTGAGCCTATGTCCGGACCACACTTCATATCCAACTCATTCCCAGATCCCCTTCCACTGTGTGCTCCACACCTCAGCAGGATCTACTACACTCCAGATTTACCCCTGAGCTCCAGACCATCGGATCTCCACTGCTAGCCTGAACCATAACCCCCTGTCCCATCCACCCTATGTACACTCCATCTAGCAAGACATTCGGACTTTACCTCATCTTGGATTCCAGACTCTATCCACCTTCTCATATCCTGGTCCTGTATTCACCTTGTCTTCCGGATCCCCAGATCTCCGGACCTCTGGATATTAACTCCAGACCTATTCCCACCCTCTGTCCAATATCCTGCACCTATCCCCATTTAGGCATTCTCTGCCTTCCGGCTTTTGGTTACCTCTTGTTCCGTCTTGCTTATTGATCCTTGTATGAGTCCTCATCTCCGAGTTCATTTACTTATGTTCTGACTTACTTACTAATGTGTTTCCACATGCTCATACATAGCCTTGCTCCTTTGCTTACTGATCCCCTCAGATATTGTTCAGTATATAACCCCTGTAGATATTCCTGTAGTTCCTCAGTTTGAATATCAACTTAGACTTGCCCAATCCTCTCTTGGACTTTGGTCCACCTAAGTCTGTCCTACCCATCAGGCCTAGGGATTGATTCCCTAGGCCGGAGCTCCACCTTTCCGGCACTTTCCCTCTTTCCAGACTTAGGTCCAATCCCTGTCTCTCCAACTCTACCTTAGGGTAGTCTACCTCTGTTTGCTTCTACATCAGACTTCATCCGATGTAGCCCCTATTCCTTCCAGACTTCCGGACCTCCTGTCCTTCGGATGTTCCACCCTCTGTACCTTCGGATGTTCCACCCTCTGTACCTTCGGATGTTCCACCTACCTCTGTACCTTCGGATGTTCCACCCTCTGTACCTTCGGATGTTCCACCCTCTGTACCTTCGGATGTTCCACCCTCTGTACCTTCGGATGTTCCACCCTCTGTACCTTCGGATGTTCCACCCTCTGTACCTTCGGATGTTCCACCCTCTGTACCTTCGGATGTTCCACCCTCTGTACCTTCGGATGTTCTGTCCTCCTAACCCTCGGATGTCCTGTCCTCCTGTCCTCTGTCATCCTGCCCTCCTGTCCTTCTGTCCTCCTGTCCTCCTGTCCTCCTGTCCTCCGGACCTTCGGACCTCCTATCCTTCCATCCTGTTTCCTGTAGAAGTATTACCTTGTAGTGGGAACTCTCCCGAATGCTTCCTGCATTCCTCCAGAACTCTCCCACGCTCCTCCAGAAGTCCTCTAGCACTCTCCAGCAGAGTAGCCAGCCTCTGGACGTCCTCTGGACTTCATCAGATCATCATTGGACCTCATATGAAATGAAGGGCACATACTCAGGTAAGGGGCACAGCGTACAAGCTGAGGCCAAGCCCCTCTGAGTCAGTCTCTCTCTCCCTTGAGCAACATGGTTCTTAACAGAGTCATATTGAGTCATAAAGAAAAAGCTATAGAATGCTTGGCAAAGGCTATGTTAGGATCATAACACTGCCATGCTTTATAATAATGCTTGGTAAAAGCTGTGTTAACACTGCCTTGTTGCTGTGCTTTAGTTACCAATCATCAGCTTTCTAATCATAGTATCAATTTGTCAGGTTTCACAGCTTTGGATACATAAATGCAAATAAAGTGGTATAAAACATTGATATTTATTTATTTGTAGCATAAAAAAGATAAGTGGCATGATAAGTATTTTACATGGACAGCTAAGTCATTTCTTGGTGAAGCATGCTTTGAAATGTCCAAATAAAATTAACATAGTGCATAGAAAATTCAAAGGACTTTATAGGTTGAAATAAAGAGTAACATAAATCATATTACATAAATCATATATGGCCATGACCATGTACAAAACAAGTTTCGTGCATGTCAACACCTTCTAAGCCTATGTCCAGACCCTACCTCCAACTCATTCCCAGATTCCTTTCCACTGTGTGCTCCAGGCCTCTGAATCTCTACTGCTAGCCTGATCCATGCACCCCTATCCTGTCCACCCTATGCACATTCCCTCCAGCAAGACATCTGGACTTTCCATGTTGGGAAATGAAATGATGATGGCAAGAGAAGGGAACCCACAAGATAAGGTTTCAAGGCTTAAGTAGTGAGTGGGAGAATTGAACTCCACCGGTTTACCCAAATTGGCTGAGTGAGTTCTGGGTCTGAGTGTTTGAGTGGCTGCTGGATAATTCCATCAGAGTTTCAATTGTCTCCAAATTCACTACTTAGGTCCCAGAGCATGGTTTAATTGCTTTCTTTTCTCTATCGTATATGCAATGTCATAGGCCTATACTAGTGTCACTTAGATGTAGATTACTAGTAGATTGTAGTACACTGTAGCAGCCTCTATTGCGAAATGCTGCTGCCAGGTCATGAAAGCAACTAACCTAAATCTCGTGCACACTGCAACTCAAGATCTCTGAGAGAGTAAGCCATTTCATTTGGTCATGGGGACATGCAAACTGAAATCAATCACTCTCAGCCTCAAAGTATTTTGTGAGTGCCTCAGGCATCACATACCCACCTCCATTGCTCTCAAGGTTCAAGACTCATTCAGTCAGCTTTTAATATTGAATTACACTCCCCATGGATTTTTCTCAGAGGTCTCCAGACTCCCATTCATTCTACCTGTCTTATTATGTTCTTGTTCTAATCCTGGTTCTTATCTATTGTAGCTGCCCTACTCTATGAAATTAATGAATTAAACTCCCAGTGCATTTTTCAGTCACAGGTCTCCTGTTTGCTGTGTCTTATTGTGATCTTGTTCTGATTTTTAATTTATTTTGATTGTCAGAGGCAAAGCCAGTGGATGCCTCACAAGCAAAGTCCATAATTGCATGTATATCATGACACTACATCATGCAAGACAGACCTGCTGCTCTTCTTGTTACCATGGCTCAACCTGACAACAATTTTATGTTGGATGATGATCCAGAGATCAATCCAAACCCTCAAAACCTTGCCACAGCACTCGTGGTAATTGGGTGGACCACCCACAAGTAGGTGGTTGAACTTATTGCAATTATTAACACTGACTTGGAGGTTGTAATTTTCTCTAGTTTCATCACTCACAGGAGCACTGTCTCACTCACTCCAACTGTGCCTGAGCATTGCGCTAATCTAGAGAACAGGAATCATAATTCAATGACATACAAGCCATACAGGCCATACACCCCTTTTACACCTTCCATCCCATGTGAAGGGCAACATTCCAGCCACTCTCTATGTGGTGTATCCCAGTATACCCTTACATCTTCCCTGTTGCCTGTTGCCTCCCTCCAGGACATGACCACCAAGTCTCCATCCTCATTTCCTGCTTCTGCTCCATAAACATCCCCTGTTTCTCCATCCATTCCTATGACTGTTTTTCCAGTCATCCCTATGGTGCCTCCCAACACTCCAACTTTCATTCCAATAACAGTCCCTCCATATATATCTATCACATCTGCCCATCCATCTTCTCTGACAATATCCATCCCAGACACTCAACAAAATGATAAAAATGATGTCACTATGGATAATGGGCTGCCCTCCCAAGCTGATCACAAAATCATGATGGATCAAGACATACCAACAGCTGTTCAGCTCCCACCACCTACAAACCATGTCACCAGTCCCAACCCAGTTTCCTGTCTTCCTGTCAGCTCTGGACAAATGAAAGCACTGCCCTTACTGTCCATTACAGAATCTCATCTGGGTCATCTGGTAAATCAGCAATTGTCTCAAATATCCATGACTGCCCTCAAGAGTGCAGTTGATGCCATGATACTGACACTGATTGACTGTATAGCCAGTGAAATTAAGAACATCCACTCCACCTGCTCTCACAACCCTGGTGTCCACAATTCTCACACCCAGAAACATGGTAGGACATCTGAAGAAGATGATACTAACAAGCCTAGATGTGACGATGATCTAATGCCTTCTCCTCACAGGAAGTATCCAGGCAAATGGGGTATCAAGAACCATTTACATGTACATCTAGGGTGGTCCGAATGAACAGAGGCTGATTATTATAAATTCAAGGATGCATTTTGGACATATCTAAGGGACAAACACCTTCTAAAATACAAGTTAGGTGCCTTGCTGCAATCCCCTCCACTGCAAATGGTTCAAGCTTTTAATCATGACAATGAAAATCCACCAAGTTTGGACAACATCACCATCGACTGGCAAGACTCTTTGAGGTCCTCTTTGTGGAATACAGAGGCAGTCAACTTGTTAGTTGTGGACTTCCAACAGAGAATTCAGACCGATTGTTATCCATCAGTTATTTTTGACGAAGATATGATGAGCCTCGATGACCTGCATGTGCTCTGCATCATCAAGCTTCGCCATACTCAACAAACTTATTGAGATCACAGCAAAATACCAGCACTTGTAGACCTGCAACAGAGAGAGGAGGCTACCTGTGAACTATCTTCTTGTGGTACTTGGAGGCAACATCTGGACAGGCTAAACTGTTAAGGTTGTACTCAAGGCTAAGTGGATCTGAAGGGCTTCGGCCTCAGCTTGTGCACTGTGCCCCTTACTTGAGTATTGCCCCTTATTTCAGGAAGACAAGACTAATGCGTTTGGAGGGTCAGACAAGTAGTGTAGCAGATCTGGATGACTTCCAGATGCAGGATAAGTATCATAAGGCTAATCTGGATGAGTCCAGACTAGAAACTAACAGTAGTGGACTGTCATAGACAGAGGTGGATATGGATAGACTATAGGAATCAATCCTAAGTCTTGGAGGGTGGTAAGAGTAGAGATACTCAGGTCCGGAGGACAGGAATGAGCAGAACTAAGTTGATATTTGAACTGAGGTGTTACAGAGATTTACAGGAGGTTATATACTATAGGTATCTAACGGAATGATCAATTAGCAGGGTCCAAGGCTATGTATGAAGCATATGGATAGTCTATTGGTAAGTAGAAATGGATCACAAATAATGAAATGGAAATGAAGCATAGGTAACAGATCAGTGAGCAGGACAGATATGACAAGAAGGGGCATCAGCAATATTGCTTTTTCCTGGAGCCCAGGCTAACAAGAAATCAAAAGTGAGAGAGAAACATTGCCCAGTGCACCTGACAATGGTTGAGCACACACAAAGACATGAAATATTCCAGATTTTTGTGGTCAGAAATGACCAAAATAGGAATGGGTGAACCAAGTAACCATGCTCACATGTCACTAAATGTATCCATGATGGCAAGTAGTTCCTTGTTGTGCACCTCATAATTGATCTTCATGGGGGACAGTTTGCAGGAGTAGAAAGCTACTGGGCAGAGGTGGCCTTCATGGTCAGGTTGTTGGAATACACCCAAAATGGCAAAATTGGAGGCATCTGTTGAAACTGTGCAGGGCTTCTGTGGGTCAAAGTGTTGAAGTATTGAGGATGACACAAATGCCCATTTGAGCATGTCAAAGGTGCTATGAGCTGGACCTGAAAAGTTGAAAGGGGTGTTTTTCTGGGTCAAATTAGTCAGTGGTTGAGTGATGCACAAGTAGCCATCAATGAAACACCTATAAAATATGTGAATCCGAGAAACAATTGAACATCCTTCACCAAAGCTGGTACAGGCCATGAAACAATGGTGTCCAGCTTCTTGGGATTCATTTTGATGCTGTCAGCACCAATTACATAGCCCAGGTACTTGACTTCTGACTTGTCCCACTCACACTTTGTGGGGTTAGTGCAAAGGCAGGTGTCATGCAGTCAGTCAAGTACAAGGTGGATGTGCTTGTTATGCTCATCCTGAGAGTGGGAAAAGATCAGAATGTCATCTAAGTAAACGACACAAATGATATCTAGCAGGTCGTGAAGAGTGTCTTGAATAAAAGCTTGAAAGGCAGCAGGAGCATTAGTGAGACTGTAAGGAACAACAAGGTGTTTGAAAAGTCTGAGTGGTGTCCAAAACACTGTTTTCCACTTGTCACCTTCCTTGATTCAAAGGTGGCTGTAAGCAGACTTAAGATCAATAACAGAAAAAACTTTACATCCTTGTACTTGATCAAGCAGATCATGGACAAGGGGGACAGGGTATCAGTTCTTCTTGGTGATTGCATTGAGACCTTGGTAGTTGATGCATAAGCATAGTTCATCAGTCATCTTGTGAATGAAGAGGACCAGGGCACCTGCAGATGAGGTGAAGCTGTGAATGTGCCCATGGTCAAGATTTTTGTGAATGTATTTGGCAAGTGCCTCACATTCTGGTGGTGTGAGGCAATAGAGAGGTCCAAAGGGAGGTGATTTCCCCTCATCGAGCTCAATGTCAATGTCATATGCTCAATGTGGGGACAGTTTCTTGAATTCAGAAGGGGAAAATACAGTAGAGGTGTAGTCCATGTACTTGCTGGGTATAGCTTTGAGTATCTCATCATCAATGAGAGGCACAGCAGGTACCTCATCATCGACGGTGTCAATGGATAATGATGTGGTGTTGCAGATATAAGCAGGAGAGTATGGATGGTAGTGGTGCAGGAGGCAGGCTTTGCCAGGATTAGTCCAAGCTGTTCACATGAATTTCTTTGCAGAGATGAAGTGGATGAGAGGTGGGCAAGGGGATAAGTTGAGAGGGATAGAGTGACCATAGCCATTCTGTGAGATGAGTGAGGAGAGGAACAAGATTGCAGGTGTACCCAGACTGGGGTCTGGAACAGTCTTGGGTAGATCCTGGGGTGGTTTTGGAGGTGTGGCAATGGTGAATACACAAGACAGATACAAAGTAGTGTTAGATAGACCAAGGCCTAATCCAACAGTAGTTGAGGCATTCAGAGTTGAGGGTGACAAAGGTAGCATAGGACCAAAGTCTTTCACCATGACTGTGATGGGGTGCTTGCAAGTAAGTCCACAACAATCAAGGGAGAGTGTAGACTCCTCCCAGTTGGTGTCAGGATTATGCTGGCGAAGCCAGTCTAAACCTAAAATGATGGGGTAGCAACAGACACGACTGCAAGTGATCAAGTCTCATTATAACTAGAGACTGAGAGGTGAGTGATGACATCATGGGTGATTAGCCCAGATGCAATTGGATGGTTGTCAACCACCATTATGGGTATGGCTGTGTCTTTGACACAACGAGGGAGGGAATGATGAGCAGCAAAACAGTCCAGGATGCAAGATGTGGTAGCACCACAATCGACAAGCACAAAAGTGTTAATAGGTTTTTTGTTGGGGAAGGAAAGACAAACAGAGATAAAGAAGTGTAAGGGTAAGTTCAAGTAAGAGTTGGAAGAAAAGACGTAGGCAGGAGCAGACTTTGCAACTGGGATATAACTCCTATCTGACAGACAGGTATGAGTGGGATCTGGCACCTTGAGACAGCTCTAACATGTCCCATCATCTATAACCAGATGCCCTGGGACAGGGTGACAGCCAGTTAGGCTTTTCCTGAGTCATTCCATGCATTGAATTTCTTCTTTGCACATTTGGACATGTTAGAGCAGGTTCTGACAGTGTGCTCGGCACCTCCACAATATAAGCAGAGGCCTTCAGCAAAGCAACGGTCATACTCCTCTTTGGTGAGAGGCTGGCATGGTGCTGTCCTGGTGGCATTGATTTCCATTGGGATTCCTGGTGGGAGTGAGGTTGAAGTAGATGGCTTGGGCTGGGTGCTGCATTGAATGGTGGTGTCATTGTTGGTTGGTTGACGGGATATGGGTTTCTTGGCAGTCTTGTGCTCGACTTCTCAAATCCTTCACTTCATCCTATAAGCCTTCATGATACTTCTGGATTGTAGTCGAGGTGTTGAAATTCACATATACTAGCAACTCATGGAATTTGTATGTGTAGTTCATGCAACTTCCAGATTCTTGATCTTGCAGAGAGCAGTGCCTAGCGCTCTGTGGGGATTGCCTCACATGCAGCCTTGCAACTGCCTCTTATATGCATATTTCAACAACATATTCACAAAGCCTTGATTTACCTTGGCCGACTCACATACCATATTGTGCACCCACAGTTGAGCACATCCAACCAACCAACCCATGGTTCCCTTTGTATCCGACCATCCCATGAAAAAATATCCTTTTGTCATTTACTGAATGTGCATTGTCAATATTACATGTTTTCCCAAGGCCACAGCACCTTGTGCCTTATTACATACAACTCTCCCTGCAAACCCTGATTTGTGGGAGAGGTGCTGAGAAGGCCACAATGGTGGCAGAAGAATGTCTTGTGTTTTGATTTCAGATGGTGCATTTTTCATTTTCTTATTTCTATTGTGTCATATGCCATTCCAGACCCTCAACTCTAAATCCACTTCTCCGGACATCTGGATCCAAGATCTGGATCTCCAATGATCTGATCTATCTTTATCTTCCTTCCAGAATCCAAACTCTATATCAGCACCCAACCCCATTTAGACCTCCCCTATCTCTGGACTCCAGTTAACTATGTTTCCCTTCTGATTATTGATCTGTTACATACATTTCATTTCTGATATGCATTATTGGTAATCCATCTTACTTACTAATAGACTTTGCATATGCTTTGTACATAGCCTTTGTGTTTGCTGACTGATTCCTATATGATACCTACAGTATATAAACCTCCTGTAACTCTTGGAAATACTTCAGTTCAAATATCATCTTAGTTCCTGCTTATTCCTGTGTCCTCCAGACTCGAGCCAAGTCTCTTGTCATATTCCAAGTCTTAGGATTGTATCCTAGACTATATCTCCAGCTCTACCTTAGGGTAGTCTATCCCCTGTTAGTTTCTAGTCCAGACTTCATCCAGATTAGCCTTATCCACTTGTCCAAGTAACTTCTGGACACCTGTCAGATTTATCTCACATTTCAGATCTGGACGTCTGTTATCTGCCCTAGTCAAATCCCAGAAACTCCAGATGACTATTCTAGCCCCCAGAAATTA